GAGCTTTGATTCTGTTGCTCAACGGTACCTCGAGAATTTTCTTAGCTGTTCTCTCATGCTTAGTCCAGGTCACAAGGTGGCTAGTGCCATTTCGGCCAATTTAAAAATTCAAGACACAAGGCAGTGGCACCGGTCATGTTTGTTTCCAATATACGCATGGCTCGACAGACATTTCATTGTTCAGAACTACATCACATGGCCATTAGCTGCATGGAGCGCCAACCTGTAGGCTTTGCTACACCTTCATGGGCAAAAAAAGGGGGTTGAGTTTAGTGTCGGATATTTGACTTGTCTCTAAACCCCACAGAAACTGTGAAGAGCAGGCATCTCTGATAGAGCTGTCAAAGTCAATAACAGAGAGTCTCCAAAAGTTAAACACATTTGAGAATAGCATTGTAATAAGAATATGTGTGATATAGTAAGTATATCAAAGAGGCTACGGCAAAGAGGAGGTTCTTAGAGGCAAAATGGGAAAGAGTACCTAAGTTGTTTTGAACCGTTTTTGATATGAGGATCAATAATTAGGGCTCGGTCAGACCAAGGTTAACAAGGCAGTTGTTGGACAGATGTTCTGTAGAAGGCTCTTCAGTGTAAGGTCTCAAAGATCATCCATCGTGTGATGTGGTAGTTCTGACAAAGTCTTTTACAATCGTTTTGGATGTCAGAAATATCTGCATGAACTCACCGTCTTTATTTATTATTTTTTGGTTAGGGATGGGCACAAATGACTTCATATTCATTCTGTTTCCACAGTTCTAGTACTTTATTTATGTGATCCATATTCCCTACAGTAACCCTGAAATATAGGTACTTGATAGCCTTGAGTAACAAGTGAAGAAAGTGAGAATCAGTAATAAAGACTACTGAGGAAAGATATCTCCCTGGTAGATAAGAAGGCCAGGCTCCAATTCAGATCAGGTTGAAGCCAAACTCTCCTTCCCTCCAATTATGACACATGAAAGAAGAATCTTACTCATTACTATATTTGGTCAATTAACAAAAAATGAAACACAACACGCATAAAGGAAAACATGTGTGTGAATATAGCGTCACAAATTTTCCAGCTTAATTGGATTAAGAAACTAAACATTACAGCATCCCAGGTCCCCCTCCATATTCCCTCCAGCCTATTTGCTCCTCACAACCTCTAACATCATAGTCCAGTCGTACAGTACTCAGTCTACTGGCTTGACTGTCCCTAGGATCCAGATGGGAAGTGTATCTTAAGACTGGCGTACAAGTTCAATTATAAACTGAGTTACAAACCAAGTCCAGATCAAAGTAGGATCAAGGGCGACTTGCTGTTAAGACTTAAACTTAGACTTCCGCTTCCTCCTGCGCATGAAGTGATTTCCGCTCAGCGTTTCGGCCTGTCTGAGGTGGGCTGTTCTTGGATCGCAGCAAAGCTGGCGCACTGCAGCCATGACCGAGGCTGATGTAAATCCGAAGGCCTATCCCCTGGCAGATGCCCACCCCACCAAGAAGCTGCTGGACCTCGTTCAGCAGTCATGTAACGACAAGCAGCTTCGGAAAGGAGCCAATGAAGCCACCAAAACCCTCAACAGGGCATCATTCATTCAACAGAGTTCATTGTGATGGCAGCAGACGCTGAGCCCTTGGAGATCATCCTGCACCTCCCACTGCTGTGTGAAGACAAGAATGTCCCCTATGTATTTGTGCGCTCCAAGCAGGCCCTAGGCCGGGCCTGTGGGGTCTCCAGATCTGTCATCGCCTGTTCTGTTACCATCAAAGAAGGCTCCCAGCTCAAGCAGCAGATCCAGTCCACCCAGTAGTCTATTGAAAGGCTCCTGGTATAGGCCTGTGGCCTCTGCTCTTTCCTGTCTGCTCCCACCCTACTTGTGTATCATATTGTCTGTTAGCATGTGGTATTTTCAGCCAGTTTCTATTATAAATATTGTACTACAAAATAAATAAATAGATAAATAAAAAGACTTAAAATTTTAGCTTAATATTCTAAGTCCCTTCTCACTGGCTAAGATCATCTCAGACCATGAACGAAGGATCATGGCCTTTGTGAGTCTCTTACTCATTTAAGGATCCATAAGATCGTCTTTCTATATAAAAGCACATAGGCACAAAATGACAAAATCTTGCTTGTCCTTCAGAGAGCTCACAAACTCTCTAGGATTCATCCATGTGTTTCCCAGGGACTTCAGAACACCCGAGTACAAGACTCCGTCCTACAGACTTGGAGTGGAGCTAAGAATACAGATAGAAGTCATACAGTCCTAACCAAAGAAGCATAAACTATGTTAGTCATTTCTTTTTCTTCTTCTTAGAAACAGTTTTGAAGAAGAAGAAGAAAATAAAACATGGGCATGTATACAAAAGTAACCAGTAGTGTGCATTATATCTCTGTTATGGTTTAAAAATCTAAAAATGTCCCCTGAAAGCTCTTGTATGAAAGGCTGGTTTGCCAGATGAAGGGGTTCTGAGAGGTCATTGGATCGTAAGGGCTCTAGCTGACTCCATTGATGCATCTGTTGATGAACTCTTAACTGAATGGACTGTTGGTGGTGGAGTCAGGTGGAAGAGAGTAGGCCACCAGAGGTGTGCCTTGGAAGGGTGTATCATGTCCCCAGACCCTTTATCTCTATAACTCCACCTCCCTGCTTCAGTGAAGTGAGCAGTTGTCTGCCTGGATGCCCTTTGCTATGATGTTCTAACTCACCCCGGTCTCGGACACGTGGACTGAAATAGCGAATGAAAACAAACCCTGTTGTTTTGGCATTCTCGGGTGTTCTGATGCAGCGATGGAAAACTGAGAGAATCCCTTTCTGAGATCCTGTCTCCTTAGTAACATGACCAGATCCACAGTCACTCATCACAGAGAGCAGCCGCTATTTTCCTGTTTGTCCACCCAGAAGTCTTTTCTGACATAGAGTCTGACCTAGTTATTTTATTGAAGTTTCTATTTCCACCAAGTCATGCCAGAGTTGATTTCCTAAAATTCAGATTAAATCACTGATCTGCTTATAAACATTTGCTGGTTCCTCAACACCAACGTTATAAAGTGCAAACTCCACAATTTGGCAATGTTCTCCATCACCAGAATCTCTGAAATTCCTCCTCAAATGTTGAAACACAAAATAAAAGGAAGAACTTAAGCCATAAGACCCCATGATCCCAAACTACTCTGTAATTTCCTGTCATCTCTCCCATCGAGATAACTCTCACATCCCGTTCTTTCAAGTCTCACTGGCCTCCCTTCCCCCCAGCTGGTGACCAAAACCCACTCACTTCAGTCTGATGCAGGGCACCATGGTTCATGGAACCTTCTGGAAGCACTCGAGGTCATTTCCCTCTGCCTCACAAGCACCTCCAATAAAAGCCATTCAAACTCCATCTCTAAAGAGCTGTGGCAGCGAATCAAGAGGTCAGAATAGGGATGATATGGTGACAGGCACATTACTCTCTACTAGGGACAGAACCATATCTGTGGCATGAAAGTATAGACCCAAAATGAAATGGATTTAAAGCTAGCCAATATGACAAGCATAATGCAGAAAAGTAACAATACTTGAAAATAAGCATGTATCTTAGGCTCTTTAATTGTGTTTTGACTATATGGCGATTATTTTTGTAGTATGCCACAAGTATGTAGAAGGATGACTCAGCCTTACCTCTAGCAAGATTGATTAGTATTATTGATACCAACTTATTGATTATTGATAGTTGCTTTTCTTTTGGCTTTACATTATCTTGTGGGTGCTTTTATGGAACTGTGAAACTCAAGAGAGCGTCTCTTAACTCTCCATAAGATTGAGGGCTCTCTTTGCAGTGATTTGTAGCTGGAGTTTTCTCCAGTCCCACTTGGGCCCCTTATAAAATAATCACTCAGAAGATCATATTAATTAAAATTCCTCGGCCATTAGCTCAGGCTAACTATTGACTAGTTCTTTTTTTTTTTCTTGTTTTTTTTTTTTTTTTTTTTTTTTTTTTTTTTTTTTTTTTTTGAGACAGGGTTTCTCTATGTAGCTTTGAGCCTTTCCTGGAACTCACTTGGTAGCCCAGGCTGGCCTCGAACTCACAGAGATCCACCTGCCTCTGCCTCCCGAGTGCTGGGATTAAAGGCGTGCGCTGCCGCCGCCGCCGCCGCCGCCGCCGCCGCCGCCGCCGCCGCCGCCACCACCCAGCTTTATTGACTAGTTCTTACATCTTAAATTAACCCATTTCTGTTAATCTATAAGTTGCCACGTGGCTTGTGGTTTACCAGTACCTTTACATTTCACTTCCTTTGTCTGGCTGGCAACTCCTGACTCAGCCTCCCTGTTTCCAGAATTCTCTTCTCTGCTTGTCTCGCCTATACTTCCTGTCTGGCAACTGGCCAATCAGCGTTTTATTTATCAATCAATCAGAGCAACACATTCATAGCATCCCCAGCAGTGATTAACCATAAATATTTGAAGCTGAGTTGGGGGGGCGGGGCGCGTGCAGCTTGTCTTCAGTGTTCTCAATGTGCTTAGTTTCCTCTTAAATTTGTTAAAGTCACTGTTTTATGACAAATCATTAAAGGCCCAGGATTTTTTTTCCAATATGTTTTAATATTTCCTCCTCCTCATTAGTGGGACTGTGGACTAAGCCAAAGACTTGCTGGTTATTTTTATTTAAATTGTATAAATTTGTCTGAAGGAGTTTGTGATTTTTGTATAATTTCACTATATTGGTGTGGTGTATATCTCATGCATACGTGAAGAGCGTATGTGTGTTTATGTGTGTATGTGTATTTGCAGGTGTACTGGTGTGGATGCATGGGCAAGTGTGTACATGTGCATACGAAATCAAGAGGTCAATACCAGCTGTCTTTCTGGCTGCCCAACACGCCTTGGAGATCTTCCTTCCAAGCGCTGGGATTATAGGCATGAGATGTCACACTAGGTTTTTTTCTGTGATACTAAGGATCAAATCCAGGCCCTGTGCTTGTGAAGCAAGTACTTTACTGACTGAGACACCTTTCTAGCCTTTGAGAATTCTTCTCCTGTACTATATACTGTCTGGGAACAATCCAAAGTATTTGTGTTGTACACTTCACTCATAATTATTCATACTGCACGGTTAACTAGATGCCTGGCAAGAGAAAATTTCTCCCTTGGTTAGGCACTTCCTTCTGCTCACAAAAATCATCACTTGGAAGTATTTTTGAACTTACAGGAAAATTATAAACATGGTATAGCACATGCACATATACCCTTTGCCAAAAATTAACAATTTAGAATAACTTTGCTTAATTTATTTTTGTCATGTTTGGTGTGTGATGTGTGCAGGCTTGTATCTTTTTCTGTATCATTTGAGAATATACTGTGTGTACCACTTTATCTAAACATTAGCTAGCCTTTTCTAAGAAAGGAGATATAACATAGCGTGCCCGCTGAATCCAGGAAATTTAATAAGAACACAATGTTATCTAATCTAGAGTCTATAGTACCATTCGCCAACTGTACCAGTTACATCTTCCGTAGCAACTTCTCCCCCATTTGCTCTGTATTGGTTGTTTTGGGGCCCCTGTGATCCTTCTGCCTAGTAGAAACAAATTAAGAGGAAAAAATATTCATTCTGGCTCACAGTTTCAGGGATATTCAGTTCATTCTGGTAGGGGTGATATGTCAGGGCCGCTCAGTCCTTGGTGGCAGATGTGTGCGACAGGGTGTTTCACAGCACAGTGGACCAAGTGTCAGAGAGGATGAAGATGAGCAGAACCTTCCAATTCTCACCCCTAAGTCTGCTTCCTCCAGTTAGGCCCAATGTGCTTATAATTCTACAGGCTCCTAAATTACACCTCCGGCAGAGAAACGGGGACTCAAAACTTGAGCCTGTGTGTGTGTGTGTGTGTGTGTGTGTGTGTGTGTGTGTGTGTGTGTGTGTGTGTGTTGGGGGAGAAGGTGTTGCATTTCAGATTCAAACAACGCCAGTAGCCAGTGCAGAGTCAAGTGCTGTGGGATGTTCTGTATGTCGTTGGGAGCCCGTTTTTGGGTTCCTCGTGGCTTTACCCAGCAGGTCCACATAGAGGATGATTAGGACCATGAGTGTGAGTGCAGGTGTCTGAGATGGTTTGCACTTGGCTGTGCTGGGGGGATGGTCTGTATGTCAAGTTGCTCTGATTGGTCAATAAATAAAACCTGATTGGCCGTGGCTAGGCAGGAAGTATAGGCGGGACTAACAGAGAGGAGAAATAAAAGAACAGGAAGGCAGAAGGAGTCACTGCTAGCCGCCCACCAGGACAAGCAGCATGTGAAGATGCCGGTAAGCCACGAGCCGTGTGGCAGGGTATAGATTTGTGGGAATGGATTAATTTAAGATATAAGAACAGTTAGCAAAAAGCCTGCCACGGCCATACAGTTTGTAAGCAATATAAGTCTCTGTGTTTATTTGGTTGGGTCTGAGCTGCTGTGGGACTGGCAGGTGACAACATTTGTCCTGACTGTGGGCCAGGCAGGAAAACTCTAGCTACAGTCAAGGGCTCCTGTAATCCAGAGACATCGTTTGGCTTCATATTTTCTTTGACGATGCTTTTTTTGTAGTATACTGTCCAGTTACTTTTCCAGGATGACCTTCAGTATTGGTTGATGTGACATTTCCTTATGAATATTCAGGTCACAGATTTGGGCCGGAATGCTATAGAAGCAATGCTGTGCCATGAGCTCAGAACAACATTCATGGCTTCTGGGGAGTCTCATTTAAAAATGTGTTTCAACTAGCAAGCAAACAGAAAGAGAAAGCGCACCTGTGAATTAGTGGAGGATTTGTGGACATCCTGGTAAGAACCTTTGTCCTACATAAGCACAAAATGTTGCCCTGGCTACTACTGATGTCACCTTTGATCTCCTGGTGAAAGTGGCCTTGGAAGTTCCTTCACATACCCTTACTTCTAACTCACATTTTTTAATTTTAGTTACATTTTAATAAGAGGAAGAGTTCCCCTCCTCCCCCTCCTTTCTTCTCTTCCCCCCTTCTATTTTCCTGTGTATACTTAACATGGTTGTTTAGTATGTAGATGTAGTCATATGATAGCCCATTAAGTTACAGTCCATTTCTGTCATTATGGTCTAATTGACTCAACGTCCATCAGTAGGGTCCATTTCATTCAGCCCCTGCGTCCTTCTGACATTCCTTTTTTTTTTTTTTTTTTTTTGGTGTCTACATTTTGTTCTTAACCAACAAAATAATGCAGAAGTCCAAAGATCTCCTTGTACCTGCCCTCCTGCGACCTCAGAGCTGTCCATGTCTCTAAGAGACATGAGTTCTCCTCGTGCGAAGGGAGATGTAGAGGCCAAGATCGAGGTGCTATGTGTACTTCCTGCTGCTGGAGTAGCATCATCATTCCTGGACCCTGCAGCAACCAGAGCTGGTTTACGTGAGCCTGCTGCAGGAATTTGACCTCACAGAGGCCTTCCTTGCCCTCTCACGTTCTGAGTTTGTTCAGTCTTCCTCTGCGCACTACTCATACCTTTAGGCTGATTTGCCTGCTGTCTGATAATGCATTATTACAGTTGTGGGATTTTTATTCTTCTACAGTACTGAAATATAAGCCTACTAGATAGAATTCAAATTTTATTTTTAGTATCTTTGTCATTTTTAGGCTAGAAAATCATTTTTTAAAAACCTGATTTTCTTCCTTGGGGGATACACCTTCCTCCATCATTTAAAGAGACATAGGCTCATTTTGACTCCAGAAAAAAAAATTAGGTTTCTCCACATTTAATTCTTTCGAGCAGGTTTATTAGAATATGGTTCACACACCACACCACATAATTCACCCATTTAAAATGCGAAATATAATACCTATTAACATACTCAAAGAGTCTTGACCTGACCCACTCTCAACTATCCTTTTAAAAGTTTGCTTGTTTCTTTTTATTTGTTCGTGTGTGCGCGCGCGAGTGGACGCATGCGTGCACGCAGGTCAGAGGTCAGATTCTAACATTCGAGAGTCTGTTCTTCCAACCACTGGGGCCCAAGAGTCAAACTCAGGTAACCAGGTTTGGCATCAAGTGCCTTTACCTGCTGAGCCAGCTTGCGGCCTCTACCACAATTAATTTTTAATCATTCTTTACTCCAAAGTGAACCATCCATTCCTTAGCCATTAATCTTCAATCCCCCATCTCCTAAGGCCTAGACAACCCTCATGTCTCTCTGTCTCTAGATTTGTCTATTTTGACCTTTCATCCAAATTTAATCATTAAATACTCCTTGTGCCTGGCCTTTTATTTATTTTTAGCATGTCTTCAAGTTTCAGGGATGTGGAAGTGTGAATACTACTAGTTTCTTCTCATTCATGAATAAGATTCTGTTGTATGGGTATGCCACATTTTGCTTATTCAGTCACCATTATGACATTTGGGTTCCCCACCCCAACCCCCCAACATTTTGGCTATAATGGATAATGCTGCCATGAACACTTACGTACAGATTTTGGCAAAGAACAGCTATGGAATTGCTGGACTGAATGGTATTCTGTGTGTAAAGGCAAGAACCACCAGGCTATTTTCCAGAAAAAGCTGCCGGTTTACCGTCTTCACCAGCAAGGTGACAGTTCCAGTTTTTCCACACCATCCAAACACGGCCATCGGTGTCTTTAATGAGAACCACCCCAGTGACATTCATTTGTGTCGGTGATTTGCGTTTCTCTTAAGGCTGACGATTAAAGCTTCTCTTCATATGCCAGATGGCCGTTTGTCTATCTTGCTTTATAGAATTACCTCTTTGTAGCTGTCTATTCCTATTTTTAAAACTTACAACAGTTTTGGTCACGTCTTAGTCACTTTTTTTTTTATTGCTGTGATAAAACAACATGACCGAGAGCAACTTCTAGAAGGAAGGGTTTTGGGGGGCATCTTACAGTTCTGGAGGAATACGAGTCCATCACCATCATGGAGGGGAGGGGTGGCGGTAACCAGGCATGGTGTCTGGGGCAGCACCTGACACCTCACATCTCAAACCACAAACAGGAAGCAGAGAGCACAAACTTGAAATGGCGTGTCTTTAAGCCTTTGAAGCTCACCCCCAGTGGACCTACTTCCTCCACAACTCCACAGTCTCCCAAACTTCATATATTCAGATGCCTGAAAATATGAGGGAGGTCTTATTCAAACCTACAGGCCATCCTGGGTCCATTGAATCTGCATACGAATTTTAGGATCAGCTTGTTACTTCCGGCTGGGCTTTTGGCAGCAAGTGAGCCAAATCTGTACATCCTTCTGAGGAATGATTGCCATAACATTAATTCTTCTGGTCTGTGAACATGGGATGCCCTTCCATATGTTAGGTTTCTCTTCAATCTCTTTCCAAAATGGCCCATAGTCTTTGGGTGTCTGCCAACCTATTCCCAAGTGTTTTGACTTTTTTTCTTATTATAAATGAAATTGAACTCTTTAATTATTGGCTTATGCATTTCCATTGTATAGACATACAGCTGATTTTTAAAGACATATTGTTCTTCTATCTGCAATATTACTGAACTTCTTTCATGAGTTTATGGGCAGCACAAATCAGATTTGGTGAGTTATTTAAAGACAATAACAAAAACAAAACAAAACCCTTAAGACCTGTTGAACAAGAGGTCTGGTACTGAAAACTCAGCCAGCTACCCAGGACTAGTGAAGTCTCGGGTCCTGGAGGAGAAGCTACAAACATTTTATGAAGCCAGTGCAATCCCTAAGTGCAGTCTAACGATGTGTGCTTATACCCGCATATAAGTGCAGTCCTGACCGGGGCCACTGTGGAAGAGTGGGCAGGAAGATTGCAAGAGCCAGAGGGACAGGGACTTTGCCAGGAACTTGAAAGAGAGCAAGGAGAGGTATAATGGAATATTTGGAGGGGAGAAAGGAAGGGGGAACATGATTTAATTATATTACAATCTCAAATACAAGAAATAATTTTTAAAGGTTACAAAAGCAAAAAAAAAAAGAGGACAATCATAAAAGCAAAACACTCATATGCATAAAATAAGTAAATAATGAATTAAACATTTTTTAAAATGGCAAGAAAACCCGCCCTTTTACTTTATAACTTGGAGTTTTTTCCCCTTACTTGTAAAAGAAGAATAGATTTGCTCATTGCTTTGTCAAGCCCAACAGCATCTTGACAGATGGGAAAGTTCTGTGAGGGATTTCGATGGTTTGTTGATGTTATCATACTACAAGGATTGAACCCGGGGCTTTGCACATGCTGGCAAGTTCTTCTCTACTAAGCTACACTCCTTGGCCCCAGTGCTGTGTGTGTTTGAAAAGAAAAACCATGTTATTATTTAATGAACCATTACAGTTTATTTGTATTTGGGGGGTGGGTGTTTTGTTTTGTTTTTTTTACCTTCCTCTGTTCTGATAGGTTTTACTAAGTAGCTCAAATAGCCTTGATGCTGTGATCCGCCTGAGTGCTAGGATTATAGGTGTGTACCACCACCCCTGGCCCCACCTGCACTTTAAAAATTTGCCCACAAGAGTGTCTCCCTTCCCAATTCTCCTCTTAAAGTTATGGCGTCAACACGCCACCTTTGAGAATTAGACCACCTCTCTTTAGATTTAAGTATGCTTGTGATCACAGTGACTCCCAACGCTGAGTCACAAGTTCTGGTGTGTCTTTAGCTCGGGTCTCCTGAAACACCTTGCTGTGAGGAAGCACAGACTGTAGATAAGCCACATAAGGACAGATGGCTGCTCCCCACTTCCAGCCGTGTATGGAGGCTACCCCGAAAGTGGGCCACACTGAGGGAAACCAAGACAAGCTGTAGATCTGTAAGCGAAACGAAGAACTGTTGTTACGAACCTTCAGTTTGTTACGCAGCTGAAGCTGGCAGATACATGTCCCTCTTTCCAGCTAAACCTCTCTCCGCTCAGCCCAAACTGAACGTCTCCTGTTCGTGAACAAGCTTTACAGTTCTCCACACCTGCCTCTTTTCTTGCACTGTTTCTTCCACCAGAATGTCCTCTTGCATTGAATCTTACCTGTCCTTAAAGGTCTCCCTCACTTCTGTGATGCTCTTCTACTTGTCTTAACTAGTTTTGGTGCCTTCCTCCTCTAAAATACTGGAGAACTTTGTTCCTATCACTTAGGATACCCATCGCCAAGGCTGAGGTTCAATATATTTATCCACTGGCAACGGCCAGATACTGAGAAGAGAAGTCTCCTGAATGATCAGTGGCACCCTCTGCCCTGTAACAAAGCTGATCTCGCACATTCTCAGCAAACCCTGCTAACCCAGAAGCACCTTTGGGCCAAGGATACACCAGATATTTTAGTGTTCACTTCTCTGCTGGAAATCCTGTGTTTTTTTCTGGACAGAAACTCAATGCATGGTTTTACTAATAGTTTATTGGGAAGCGAAGACAGGAAGATCATGAGTTCAAGGCTAGCCTGGCTTACATAGTAAGTTTGAAGCCAATGTGAACTACACAGTAAAACCCTGTGTCAAACAAATAAACAACAGAAAAGACTAAGTCTGGAGACTCAGAATGCTGTTCAGGAAATCTAAAAAAAGGAATGAGTTTAAACTTTCAAAACTACAGCAACTGACAAAGGTTTCCTGAGGTGGGATCACTAAGACACAAGACTTTATCTGATAGCTCCTAGGTTGTCTAGCTGGATCTTAAGTTTGTCTGCAAAAGAACCAGAGAAGACTGGAAGGAAAAGCTTCTGGAGTCCACCTCTCTACGTTCTGGAGAGAGAGGTGGGGGGGGAGAGGGGGGGAGATGTTGTAGCCCAGCTCTCATTGTATAGCCCAAACTGAACTTTAGCTTGCTATGTAGTCCAGACAGGCCTTAAACTCACGGCAACCCTCTTGCCTCTACCTCCCAAGTGCTGGGATGATACCCTGAGGATATCTTTGCATTTTAATTGACAGCATTTGCATGTATTTATGGGGTACCACATGATGTTTCAATACACGTATCTATTGTATAAAGTTCAAGCAGTGTTAGACAGTTCTCTCTTCAAACATTTATCATTTCTTGGTGGTGAAATATTTAAAATCCTTCTTCTGGCTATTTTGTAATAAATGCTATCCACGTGTGACCACTCCGCTGTGTTATAGAAAGAAGACATCGCCTTTCCATTTTGCTTGGTTCTGCAGGAGATGGGGATCAGACCCAGGGCATAATGTCCACAGGGTGAACACTCTACCACTGAGCCACACCCGTAACCCAGGGCACCTTCTTTAAAATCTCTCTCAGTAATGCTGATGCAGCAATCCGTCTAGGGGGCCACACTTTCAGAGATACTGGGGAGGTCACTGCTCTATCAACATCTCATGTGTCCCTTCGGGCTGTGGACACCTGTCCTCTGAACTGGCCGTGGTTTCTGGGCTGCTGTGGAGTGGTCAGAGCAGCCTGGCCACGAGGAAAGGAAAATAGAAAGAGCCACAGGTGCGGGGCTGCGGGTGAGGGAGACACCCCTGTCGTTCCAATGCATGGGTGGTGGCAAAAGATGATGAAACGCTTCTTAAGACCGACAAGGGGGTGTGTAGCCGGGCTGCGGCAGCTTCTGTCCGGGGGTGTGTATTCTTAGATGGGGTGATGTGTATTGCCTCACCCTCAAGTTGTCAGTGGTGTGACTCACTCTTTGCTTGGGAGCCTCCACCCTCGCCTCCCTGGTTCCTACCGCTCTACCATCTCATGGTGGCAGCCTCAGGGCTACACTGAGTTCCTAACACAAGACCGTCTACTCATTTATCTTCTTCTCACCGCCCACCCCCCAGCGGAGAATCAACCCGGTTCTAAAACCCTCAACTGTTGAGAAATAACCCACAAGAATCATATGAGCGTTGCCCCCCCACGCCCCCCCCCAACACCTTCTGGAATCTGTCCAGAGTGAGTGAGTGAGTCCGGGAGCCGGGTCTCTGAGGGTTGAGCTGCCAGCTCCGGTCTACCGCCTCACTTCCCATCCCTTAGATGTGTTGCAGACTTCGGACCTCTGGAGTTCCCTCGAAGAAACACTAAGGGATGTCTCGGAGCTGAAGCATGGTCAGTGGCTCCCTTATCTTCCAAGCAGAAAAGTGAAGGAGCTGGAGAAAACGAGCAGAGCGTTGCTGACTCACCACTTCACGTTGCTAAGCCACCAGCTGGGATTTACTCATCATCTGCGGAACAGACTCTTGTAAAAATGTAAAGCCTTTCTGAAATAGTCGTCATCTTCTTCTGTCTCTGTGCATTTTAAAAGTTTTATAAGTCTCTGCCAAGAACGTAGTGGATACAGCAGACCTTTGCTGAGTCACTGAGACCTCATTAGACTGAAAACATTGTGTCACTGTATAGCCCCGACTGGCCTGGAACTTGCCATAGAGACCAGGCTGGCCTCAAACTCACAGATCTGCCTGTCTCTGCCTTCCAAGTGCATCCAGATTAAATGTGTGGGCCACCATGCCTGGCAGTATTCAGTATTGTATAAAAATATGAGGGCCAGAAGATGGGCGGGTCTCTGTCATTGTCAATGACTCTCTGACCTAGTTTGGTTTCAGCTGTTGTGGTAAACACCATGATCAAACCACCGTAGGGAGGAAAGAGTTTATTTGGCTGATAGGTTATACTCTATCACTGAGGGAAGTCAAGGTCAGAACGCAAGGTAGGAGCTTCATCGGAAACCACGGAGGGCGCTGCTTCCAGGCTTACTCAGCTAGCTTTCTTATACTACCCAGTACCACCTGCCCAGGGATGGTACTGCCCACAGTGAACTGTGGGTCATCCCCAGTTCAATCATTAATCAAGAAAATGCCCCAGAAACAGGCCAATCCTGTGGAGGCAATTCCTCCACTGAGGGTCCCTCTTTCCAGGTAACTTTATTTTGTATAAGTGGACAAAAATGAACTAGAACATCCTCCTTACAGGAAGACACCAGAATTCTTGTCATTTAATAACTTAATTCTTGCTTTGTGGTGCTGGGATGTAGCTCAGTGATGGAGGGCTTGCCTGGCATATTCAAGGCCCTGGGTTTGAACCCTAGTATCGTGGTAGGAGAAGTTTATGTTATATAAAACATCACACTATGAGGTCATTTCACTCCCTACACAGCGCTGCAAGACAATTACTATTTTAAGAACGGAGGCTCTGAGAGAATTGGTGCTATGCTTTGAATACGCCCACCAAAACACATGTTGAAATTGACTCCATCGTGAGTGACTGGGAGTTGATGCCAGGTGGGACTGGTAAGATGTAATTAGATCACAGAGGCTCTGTCCTTGTGAAGGATGGATCCATCGGTGGAGTCTTGGGTCTGTGGATTGAATTGTCCATGGGTTACCTCAAGAACAGGTCTGTCAGAGAAGCCAACTTGGACTCTGGTTCTTGCCATATGACGCCTGGTGTCTCTCTGCAAAGCTCCCACCTTCAAGAAGGCCCCCGCCAAAATCAGTCAGCTCTGACCTTCCACCCTCCAGAACCACGGGCAGAATAAACTTATTTTTATTTTATTTTTTTTTGGTAAATTGCCTGCTCTGTGACAGTCAGTTATAGCAATAGAAACAGACGTTCATTGATTCATGTAAAATTATGGAACTATAAAGTATTAGATCAAGGCTGGAAGCCAATTCCAGGGTGTCTTCCACTGGGGTATGTGGTCGTTGCTCTACGCATGTGTGAAGGAAGACCATGCAACTTGTCTATGAGACAACCTGAGTGTAGACTTGGGAAAGGGTCCTCAGAAAACACTGAGGTGCTCTTCAAGAGAGCGCTCCAACCCCTCCAGACCAACAGGGGACCATCGCTTCATATCAGATCATCCATACATAGCAGTCTGATGGAATCCCAGCTTTCTCCAGCTACTTAACAAAAGTCTCAGCTTGGACTCCTCAGAGACTCCAGATGGCCACATTCTGTCTCAGCCTGAGCTGCTGAGGTCCCAAAAGGGCATCCAGGCAGCCTGGGGAGTTGGGAACAGAAGGAGTGTTCAGACATTCCCGCGGATCTGCAGGGAAATAAGGGAAGCAAAAGGCAGAAAGGCCAGGTAGACTTCCAGGAGCATGCCATACTGCCCTCTGACTTTGAAGATGGCAGACTGCTAGGCAGAGAGAGCAAGGCCTGCAAAGTGACAGTGCTGTAGGCATGTGTGTGACAGCCTCTTGGCACCATCAAAGCAGCGGCTGGTCTCTAACAGGGGTTCCTTTGGCCTCCCCAAAGCATGGCTCACTGTGGGGAAAAAAACAACAAAAACTTTTTTGTCTGGCCTTCTGGGTCCACTTCAGCCTCCCCAAACTGATGTCTCAAGGCTCATTTTTGCTGTTGGTTGATGTGTGTGTGTGTGTGTGTGTGTGTGTGTGTGTGTGTGTGTGTGTGTGTGCTTGTGTCTACACACACATGCATATACTTGTGCACACAACCATGTGTGCAGATGTGGAGTCCAGTAGTCTGCTGTTTTCTTCTATGACTTTTTAACCTTATTTTTTGAGACAGAGTCTTTCACTGAGCCCGGAGCTTGCTGAATGGCTAGGCCAGTTGCCAGCAAGCTCCTAGGATCCAGCTGTCTCTGCCTCTCCAGCACTGGGGTGTAGATGTACCTTCCATTGCACTCGTCTGGGTGCTGGGGATACAGCTTCAGCTCCTAGTGCCTGTGTAGCAAGCTCTTTACCCCCTGAGCCGTCTCCCCAGTGTCCTTCTGGCTGGTTTTTGTTGACCTTTGAACTGTACATTATTGATAAAATTATTCAGGCCACTCCACGTAGTTGAAAGGGAGGTTTATTTTGTGGGGTAACTCACAAGTGAAGGGATAGGTAACAGGGTCCGGGAAAGGTGTGGCGCAGTCTGGCAGTGTTCTCTGGAGGACTCTGCTCGGTCTACCTCCAGCGTCCAGGGTCCAGGAACCAAGAGAGACTGGCGCCTCACGATCTCGGGTCTTCAGGGTCCTCTCTCGGCCGCGCCTTGTAGGCGTGACAGTTACCGAAGCCTCAATGGGGGTTGGAACTTCCAGATCAAAGCTGGAATGGCTACCCGCTACGGTACTTTATGAAGAGGAGATAGTCTGCGGGGTGACACTCCTATCAAACACAGAAATATGCCTGCCGATTCCTCCTGATGGGAAGACATCAGAGAAGGCATTAGTCTGGCTATGCGTCACTAGAAGAAAGAGACAGTGCCGGAATCACAACCCCACACTTTCCTCACCTGAGTCACGGTTCGAGCCTACCATTTCTGTGTTTGGCCATCCACCAAACACGTGCTGAGCCATACTACACCCAGACAGGGTGATTCTGGGAAATGTTAGCAAATGGGGTCACTGCCAAATGTCAGGGAAACAAGACAAAAGGAGCGGTCCAGAAAGACTGCGTCACTGAAACAGCTTCTTAGGGAAAGTCAGTTCATGCTCCACACTGCTAACGGACACAATTAATTGAGCAGTAATGATCCCAGGTACAGCCTGTGCACCTGGGATCCCCTGGTAGGTCACTAACTAGTCAGCCTGTGCACCTGGGATCCCCTGGTAGGTCACTAACTAGTTCGAGTGTGGCTCGGGGCAGCTGGATAACGATCTGTGGAATAATGGCTCGGGTCCATGCCCATTGCCATGATCAGTTCTTCAGGGAGCCTGAACTCTTGACTTTGATCTGGGCTGTGATCCTTGGAGTTCTACCTCACGGTCTGACAGCATCCTGGACAGCTTCAGGCTTCCGGTGTTGGAAGCAGAAAGCCACTTAAAATGTCTTCTGGATCTGCGCTCTGTCAGAGCCACATGTGAGTGAGCACTTGGCATGTAGCTAATCTGAATTGAGATATGTATAATACCCACAAAGAATTCCGAAAGTAGTGTGAGCAAAAAGAATACAGAGTATCCCAGCAGTAACTTTTATGCAGATTAAATGGTGAAATAATACTAGTTTTGGACATATTAGGTGAATAAAGTATATGATTAAGTCACACACACACACACACACACACACACACACACACACACACACACACCGTCACCCTCGTATCTTTCTAACATCGTGAAGTGGCTAATAAAAGGATTGCAGTTTCCGGAGGCTGGGGAGATCGCTGTCAACAGTGTGCTGGCCACACAAGCGCGAGGACCTGCGTCTGATCCCCAGAACACATGTGAAGACAGCCGAGCACGGTAACACGTGATCCTAATCCTGATGAGGAGGAAGCAGCAACAGGCAGACGCCCGGAGCTTACACAGCAGCCAGGCTTGAGGACTTGGCAAATTCCAGGGGTGTCCTGGGCCAGTGAGGGGCCCTGTCTGAAAAAGAGTGGAAGATGCCTCAGAAATGATGCCTAAGGTTTTCTCTGACTTTCTGTCTCTGTCTCTGTCTCTGTCTCTCTCATAGGCATATATGTGACCTGCATATATACCAAAATAAATACTAATTATATAATACAGCTTACAAATGTAGAGTCGATTCCATTGTTCTGGCGTCTAGATGTCAAGCTCAATGAGACAGTGAGTATCCGGTTTTACTGATCTAGCCCCTGGAGCCTAGCATGGTCTCCAAGGCTAAAGAGCACTCCATGAACCTCTGGTGGCTGAGTGAATGCATGAGTGCATAAACGGACAAGAGGTACTGGTTTCTCTTGAGAACTAGTTCTGCTCCCTAGTTATGTGAACCTGAAGTCTCAGAGGGAGGCAGAAGATTTGGAACACCCTACTCATCACATGGGAGACTCCAGCCCTGACCTCCCCAACCCACACTGTCCACGTGCCTGTCCACTTCAATGTGCAGAAGGAACCTTAACATCTCCAAATCAGAATTTCTTATTCCCCCCACCACCACCATAAGATGGCAATTGCCCAGGTTTTTGCCATCTCACCTTTTCAGGCAATAATGATAATAATAAAAATAATAATAATAATAATAATAATAATAATAATAATAATAATAATGTTTTTTAATCCCCTTTTTTTACCTCCCATGATTACTGCAAACCATCCAACCAAGAAGTAGTTCTATCGACTCTGTTACAAAATATATTCTAAATGTCTAAAGTGTTTTTTCCACGGTCACTGATCCCACTCCTGTACCTGACCTATTGTTCCTGCTGGTCCAGGTATTGCCAACATCACCATCAGAAATTCTGTGAGCTGTTATTAACCTAATGAAGAAAAGCAGGATGCCTGGTGGTGCCGGCTACTCTAAGAGGATAGGATGATTTT